GTTGCTCACGGGGCTCCACAGCTTAGAGGGAACATTGGCCCTTGCCCCATGCAAAGTGGGCGGGAGCCCCAGATGGGGCAGGCATGAAGTACTGTAGTGGTGGAGCCTGCTGTTCTTCTTTGCCCCTTCATTGGGGGGCAGGACTGTAGGCAATCAGCCACACGCAGAGCAGGGCCAAGTCAGGCCTGTTGCCAGGAATTTGTGGCTTGTGGGCGGTGATGACTTCCATAGTCAAGAAAGCTAACACTTAGGCAGAAAAACTGTCTTAAAGGAGACCAGTTTCTTAGAGTTGGAAGAGATCCTAGAGGTCACCTACTCCAACCCCCTTGCTCAGTGTGGGAATTAGTCAACTACAGCACCCCACTCTGCTTAAAGGAGCACACGTCTTTAAAAAAATGTTTTTAAATGATTGAAAAAAGCATTTACAGGAGAAATTCTTGTGGGGCTGTGCCTTTAAGAAAGAGAGTGGAGCCCCAAAAGCCCCACTGTAGCTACGGACCTGGGCCAAGTACAGCTGCCCCAGTTGCCCATTGGCTATGATGGCCCCTGGTATAAGCTGCATATAGGGCTGGAACTGGGGTTGGGAAAATGGGCAAAGAAAAAGAAGACCTGCATCTCCTTGAATTATGTAATGTTATTGTCATATTATTCAATTATATATAAGGAGAGATTGTCATATTGTCGATAGAAGCCAGGGATGCCTAAGGCCACCCAACAAGCATATGGCTGAACTGTGAATTGAACCAGGGACCTCCTGGCTTGCTGTTCAAGCTCAAAACAGCTATGTTACAACAGGAGATGCTAGCAAAAATAATTTTCCTTTCAGTGGTTGGTGACCCTAGAGTATATCATGCTTTTTAAAAAATTCACATCCTACATATTTATGTGGCCCAAATTAAATACCGTATCCAAATTAACTGGATCTGCTTTGGCAGGCCACAGTGAAGAGTTGTGCAGGGTACTGAAGTCTGGCCATCAGAGATGCCCTTTAGAGCTTCATTCCCCATGCTTCTGAGCTGTCGTTGGACATTTCCAGCACATATTCTGTCTTCTCTATGTAACTGCAGGGGCTACAGGTTGAGTTTCTCAGAATGGTTCAGTAACGGAAGCTGAGAATAGGTAAAATCCTGAAGATGGAGGACTAGTTAAAACAGAATTCTCACCCTACCCACATACGTGGCCTTCAGAAATTGCGACCCAAACACTTGTACAAGACTCTGCATACAGTCCAGTCCTGTTGGGCTGGAAGACACAGCTGGTTGGGTAGGCATGTCAAGGCTGAGCTTATCTAATGTGACTGCTTGGGAGGGAAAGGGCAATCACAGTCTTCCTGATGAACGGGGAGATGTTCTGCAAGAGGCCAGGCAGCAGTTAATTTGCTCCAACAAGTTCCTGAGCCACACAGAGCTGCACATACCAGCCCTACTTCCTTTTTTTTTTTAAGCCCCCAGAGGGGATTTTTTATTGATTTTTTTAAAACTAAAAATAACTACAACAGAAAAAGGGGGGGGGGGATACTACACATACGGGAGAAAGAAAAGCACCCACTACTATCTAAAAACCCAAGAAAGGAGATCCTCCAACTAGCTTAGATACATCAAATCTTCTCATTGTTAATCCTTTTATAAACTGAGTCAAACATTTAAAACCTTTTACCCTTAAAGTTTACATTTAACTGTCTAGTATCAGTACCCCCAATCATCCCCAAAAACCAAAGTTCTCAAAGGCACAATTCAGAGTCCTTCAGCCTTTACTTCTTTTCCCTTCTCTTCAGCAACTTGTAGGGACTTTTCGGGGCTTGTAGGGACTTTTCGGGACTCCAGCCCTACTTCCTGTCTGAAGCTCCACCTCTTCCTAGAGGAAAGTGGGAATCTTCTGGATACAGTAGGAAGCATCCTAGCTTTAGAGTCTTGCACTTTGCTGTCGTTCAGAAGTTTCCCATCAGACCTACTGGTATTTTAGTCTAAACAAGATGGGAGATTGTGAAGTTCAGGGTACAAAGTGTGGGAGTTCCTCAAGGGTCTCAGGACTGGGGGTGTGCTGGCACAGAATCACAAAACTTTTATTGGCATAACAGCATGAATCCATATAGATTACAATAGGATCTGCGGTCAAAAAAGAACATCTCCTCCTAGAGGCATCATAGAGGAATTTTGCTACAGATTCACTGATTTCACTCTTATTTGAAGCTAAAAGTATAGAGGTCCTACAGTCCTCAGGTCAACCCTCCAAAGATAGCAAAAAAAGGCTTTAAAAATACAGCACGACGGTCATCTTAACATTTACAATGCAAAATAATACGATTGTTGTCTTCAATCTCGCTCATCCCACATGGACACAGCCTGTCTGTATATGAAATTTTCTTAAATCTCCCATATAACACCACAGATGGGAGAACATTAAAACGGGCTAGCGTGAATGCCCTCCGAAGGTGAGGGTCACACAGACAAGAAAAACATACAGGAAAGGTAGGGCCAGATAAAAGCTCCCAATGCACTGGGGAACCATGGCCAGAGGCAAGGCTTTTCCATGGGATGTGCTGGCAATCCAGTTTTCTGACTGGACATTCTCTGGGCCGTTTGTAAGCTCAGGTTTTCTAACCTCCTAGAACGTGATCCAGTGACGCTTGTTTTCTCGCAGGTTGCCGCAGAGAGAGAGAAGGCCCGGCAAGAAGAGGAGGCGGCAAAAGGGAAAACCAAAGTCGTCGTTCCAAAGAAAGAGCCGAACACTCCAAAGACGTACCGCGAGGGAGTCGGGAAGTACATTAATTTGGCTGCCGCGTAAGTGCCTGGTGCCTTTTGCATGGTTAACCTTGTGGGTGTGGGTGTCTTTTTCCCCTGCACGGAGCAATGAAGTTTAACGAAGTGACTGCTGTGATCAGACCCAGCTTCAGAGGGCACGTTTCAGGCTCTCTGAACTCCTAGTACAGTAACTGACTCTCAACCGTGAGAGAGAACATTAAAGACACCAGTGTCTGGCATAAGAAGCGGCAAATCTGTCTCTTTTTTTGGTGGGAAAAGCATTGGTTGCTCGGCTCAGAAAAACAGGAGGGTCCAGTGGGATCAGTGCAAGGCTCCACCTCGTCCAGCATCCTGGTTCCCACAGTGGCCGGCCACACGACTCTGGGGAACCCACAAGCATGGACAGCAGCCCTCCTCTGCTACTGCCCCCTAGCCTAGCAGATTGCAGTTGGAATAGACGCTGTGGCTGATAGAGCCAGCGTGGTGTGGTGGTTAGAATGCTGGACTAGGACCTTGGAGACCCAGGTTTGAATCCCCCATCTGCTGTGGAGGCTTGCTGGGCGTCCTTGGACCTGTCACACACTCGCACTGCAGCTGGCTAAGGCCCACCCCATAGGGTTTTCAGCACCAGAGGTGTTCAGAAGTGGCTTGCCATTGCCTGCCACTGGATTTCAACCCTAGAACTTCCTTCCTGGTCTGCCATCTAAGTACTAACCAGGGCTAATCCTGCTTAGCTTCTGAGATGTGACAAGATCAGGCTAGGCTGGGCTATATCAATGCCTATTTATGGACCTACCCCTGTGAATTTTTCTGATTCCCTTTTTAAGTCCTCTAAGCCATGACTAACACCGCATATTGAGACAGTGAATCACACAGGTGACTGATGCATGGTGTGAATGAGTACTTCCTTTTGTCTGTTCTGCAATTATTGCCCCCTTAACTGGGCATCTTGAGTGCCAGCATTATAGAAGAGGGAGAAAAAATTATCCATCTCTCTCTCTGTCTCCACGCTATGTATAAATTATGTAAGCCTCTATCACGTCATTCCCATATTTATCTTTTCCCCCCTAAACTAAAAGGCCCCAAATGCTTTAGCCTTTCCCGGATCGAGATCTGCGAAGGGTCATTAAGAACTCATGCTGTGCTTGCATAGATAGGGCTTAATCTCTTCTGGCACACAGGAGGACTCTCAGAATGGTGCTCTCATCCATATTCACAGGCCTGATTTGGGGGGGGGGGGGAGCAGCGTGATAGATCAACTGGGTCAGAACCTTCATCACACCCAGTCTTAAGCATTTGTGCCTGGGTCCTTATATGTCGAATCCTAGCAGAAACCATTGGCCGGGGGAATTGGGCTGAACTCACCCAGCAAGTGAGTCCAGTTGATATATAAGACAACTTCTCATGTCTTTTGTATAAGGTGTGGGTTCTTAGGAGAATTCTGCGTATCCAAATTCTATTTCTAAAGGTTTCAGTGTCATAAATCTATGTGTGGAGGTTTTTTTTTATTATCAAGTCCTTAAAACCTCCCGGCTCACACATTTTTAAGATTTTAAATACCACCTGAAATGGTTTTGCTGCTACTCTTTCAAGAGCAACTAATTCTTCAAAACCTAAAAGTGGCAGGTATTTATTTACTTACTTACTTCATTTACAGGGATACAGCAAAAGGGAAACAAACCCAACCTGAAAATCAAGTTAGGTACTCAAGAGGCTGAGTAGCAAGAACGTAAAAAAATTAAATATTTCTTGTACAGTGCACCAGGTCAAAGTTAAAAACAACACACATACATAGGGAATAAAAATGTCATATACATTTGTAGTCCACCTTTCTCATTGAGACTCAAGGCGGATTACACAATTAAAAACGATGCAATAGGAACAGTATAAAACATATAAACGACAGTGAATAAAACTGATTACAGAATTAGAGACCAACGTACTAAGCACTATAATACCTACAGTATAATACAAATAATACAACAGAGTTGAACTGCAAAACTGGAGGAGAATAAAATAAAACCGTGAGAGATAGTTTCACAGATGTTTATTTTATTTTATTTTACTGAACTTATATCCCGCCCTCCCTGCAAGCAGGCTCAGGGCAGGTTACATCAGTATCGATACAATATAATACAATTCAATTAAAAACAACTTTAAAACAACAATTTAAAACAGTGTAGAATCATAAAATGCCATGTAAAATAAATTAGATCAGATGTCAGTTAAGATGTCAGTCAGATCAATTAAGTGGTTTAACTACAATAAGAATGCCCTCCTGAGGAGACAGGACAACTTGCTGATGTAAGTCATCCAATGGCAGTTTCAAAGATGGTTGCATCTGTTGCAGCCTCTTACAAGGCCACAGGTCACCGACCTCCAGTAACAGAAATTACAATGGGAAATAGCTATTATAGAATTAACCCCCTTCTGGAAGATTCTAAGAGTATGAAGGGCGCAGACCCAGAGGCCACAAAGTAGGCATTAAGGGCTCCAAGTATGTTGTCCCTATCCTTGGGCGGAATCAATTGGAAAGAATCCTTATGAACATGAATGATGAAAACCTCAGGATAGTTCAGTACAATTGTTGCTTGTGAGACGTCTGGCGGAGTGCAAGCAATGCTCCCTCGAAGCTGAGGAGTCTTGTGAGCAAAAATTCTGCTTTGTGAGCTGCTGGTATTAGACTTGTGACCGAGCAATTTGGCTACTGCATAAGTTAGTTTGCACTGGAGCCATCCTTCCTGAGCTAAGTCAAAACTCTGGGAGCCGGAGACTAAAAAGCTAGCTCACACTAACTCAGCTTAGAGGGAACACTGAGTACAAGTGATGTTCTCTGCAAAAAGTGTGTTTTAATCTGTAGAGGAATCGCCTCTTGGGGTCCCCAGGTGTAAAAGGTCTCTTCCCATCCTAACCAGCACTGCTGGACGGCACTGGGCATTAGGCTCTCAAATGGGCTATACCCTATACTGGGTAGTTCTCAGTGTGGGTTTTCCTCTCTCTAGCATCGATCCCCGTCACTTCAGTTCCCTTACATTCCTCTAAAAACCAGTGTTAAATGAGGTTACATGTGGGAGAGGGAGAGATTGTATCTCTTTCACGAGAGGCCTACTAATTCCTCAAAATAGTGGCCAGCTTTATCAGTGGGAAACTCTCCCGGAGTGGTCAGGAAATCCTCTGGATCCAGCATTCTCGGGGGGGGGGGGCAGACCACATGAAGAGAGGCCCCCACCTCTGCAGGGGATCTTTATGAGCCTTCCTTTCTCCCAGGCAACTGGAACCCAGACTTTGAGCCTTCTTTAATCTTAGCACTGCCAGGAAATGATTTGTCCATGACAAAGGAGGAGGAGTAATCCCTTCCACCCCCAGACCAGATGACACAGCTGTTTCACTGGTTTGGATCATGGCTGTCTTGGGACAACTCTGATGATTATTTTTTTTACTGCTTTGTACCTTTATTGTGTTTGGCTGGTGAATATTGTTCCCTATGCGCGCGTGGGGGGTTAAAATGCCGTCAAGTCACTTCCAACCTAGGGTTGACCCTGTGCTCCCTGCCTCTAATTATAAAACCACGCTCAAATTCTGAGTTTAAAAATTGCTTTTTCTGCTTCCAGCTCTGGTTATGCCGAAGATGAGGAGGTCCCAGATATACAGATTCCGCTAGGAGAAACACCCTCAGAAATTGCCAAAATATAAACTGTATTTAACAAATATACAGTTGGTGATGTCACAACAACAAAATGTAGTGCATACTGTAACTCTAATAAGGCATAAGATAAGATTTCCTCCTTAGAAGATGAGATGTAAAGTCCATGTAGGGAGGGAACATTGCATCTTGTGCCTTACTAGAGTTACAGTATGCACTAAGTTTTGTTGTTGTGACATCACCAACTTTATATTTGTTAAATTCAGTTTATATATTTTGGCGATTTCTGATGGTGTTTCTCCTAGCGGAATTTGTGTATCTGGGACCTCTGTGACGCTAGTTTCCCCCCCTGTTTTTGAAGATGAGGGGGAGCATAGGGTGGACTGAAGATTGGTCGCGGGGGAACAGACAACCCCAGTGTCAGTTTCTGTAGCCCTGTTCTCCACTCTTCGGTCTGAAAGTGAGATGTAGCTTATTACGGGGATCATCTGGGCTTCACCACCCAGTCCCCACTGAGCACTTAGTCCCGGTTGTAAAACTGTGACGTATGAACTCTTGGCCAGCCTAGCAGACACCCCAGGCTGCTCAGAAGGAGCCAGGAATAGCAGGGTGGGCGAGCAAAAGGAGTCTTGTGCATTGGCGTCTGCCTGTCCTGGGAGAGCAAGTGGGGGTCGGGGGAACTTTGCTTGCAGCAGAAACGTTCACGCGGCATAAATGTGGAGGGGGCTTGGCCTAGAGCAGAGGAGCGGGTGTTCTGTAACGCAGGGGGGTTCTCAGGCCAGCCGCTGCTCTGTAGGGTGGTCGTCTAGGCGGGCCCTTTCCTTCCTCATGCCCAAAGCCATCGCCAAAACCTACAGCTGGAACATCTCCTCTTGTTTCCAGCATTTCAGACCAGATTTTGGACTTCTTTCTAGACCACCCTCACTTCAGCCCTGTGTCATTCCCTTTGTAGGAAGCGAGCCTCGGAAGACGACGGCCCATCAACCAGCACGGCTGTCAAGAAAGAGAAGAAAAGCTCAACCTTTGGGGACTTCAGCTCCTGGTAGAGGATCGAGGGGACTGCCTTACCCGGCCACGATCCACCCTCAGTTCTAGGTGTTCTGCACTGAAGCTGGACAGGGTGCCAGTTTGCATCCTAACACTTCCGGGTGCTTTTGTTTCCTCGATAGCGCTTTCCTTTGAGCCCTTCTCCAAAAGACCTCCTTTTGTTTTTTTTTGGTGCGCTACTGTACTCGGCAGTTCCAAGATGACTTTTTGGCGTTTTCGCTCTGCAGATTTGTCAGCAGAATGCTGGGAAAGCCAAGCAGTTGAAGGAGCAAGGACACGTTCCAGGCTAAAATGGGTGATGACCCAGTGGAGGAGGGGAGAAATGGCATCGTTAGAGCCGCATCCTTTTGCTTTGGGTGGGTTCATACAGACCCCTACGGCTTGTCCCTGCTAGTTTGAAAACAGAGTCCCCCAGACTGCGCATCCCTCCCTTTCTCTCTCTGTCTGTCGCACGCCTCCAGGCTCACTGGTTTTATGAGCTCTTGTGCTGCTACCCAGAGGCATCCGTCTCCGTGAGCGATGAAGTCGTGAGATGCCGCCACATCCAGAGCCAATCTCTGACTGATGCCCTGTTCACCCGGAGAAGGAATCCAGGCTAGTGCCTTTGCCTTGTCTGGCTCGCTAGACTGACCTTCGCTAAGCCAGCCTGGCAACTGACGCAATCCCGTCGCACTCCTGCTCTGCTCTGCTCCCGGGAGCCAGCAAGCATCATTTCAAATCTCTGCTGTGATGCACAGACAGGGCCGTGAAAACTGCACGCAGCTACTCGGTGAGGTGTCAGGTTAAAATTAGCCACAGACAAGCACCGCTGCAGCCTCCTTTCCCAGACCCCCGAATGCTGCCTCTTAGCCCTGGTAGCTAGCTGCCTGTCTCTGATTGGCCTCCTCTTTTGTTTGATGTGTGGCGGGCTGATGTCGCAGGACAGCACAAGCCTTCCTAGGAAAAACAGTCCTAAGCGTCAGAGAGCCCTGAGCCAGCCACACAGGTGGTGCTAAGGGGCAAACTACAGGCTACATCCAAACACAGGACGTGATGCCCCGGGGGCAGTAAAGCCAATCTGGGTGTGGGAGGCAGCAGTTTTGAATGGGGAGAAGCTGCTTAACTCCTTTCCTCCACGGATCCTTTTTTCTTTTCTACCCCCCCCACACACACACACACCTGCAGCCTGGCTTTGGGAAGAGGAGGGGAGTGGGAGAACAATTGACGGAGAAAGGAGCCAGCAACCTTCCAGCCTGCCAAGTCTTTGCTCAGAGTTGCCCCCTCCTGCAGCCGCCCGGAGAATTGTCACAGGAACGTCCACAGAACATGCCAGCGTGCCCTTTACGGCAGGAAACTGGGAAGAGCTGTAGCTGTCAAGGAGCAATTGGAGCCACATGTGTTTGTTAAAGGGCAGGCGCCGGCAGAGTGAAGGCCTCACGTCACTTTATGGCCTTCTGGGGGGGCAGGTTTGCCGGCGCATCTTTCCATCTGCATAAAACACAAAGAAACAGAAAACAGAAAAGCGGCATTAAAGATCAAACAAACAGATGCGTGCCTCTTTCCCATATATGTCCCATGCAGCAAGATGCCAGAGCAAAAGGATTGACCGTTAGCAGTAAGAGCTATCCTATCGAGGAAAAGAACATCGGTGATTTTACAGACTTGAGAAATCTTTTCTTTTTTAATTTATAGTTTTTATTTTCATACTCAGATCAACATACAATAACACAAACAGTAACATATGAATATAACAACATAACTGTAAGAGAACATATCAAATTCGTTTCTTTTGGGTAGAGGTTTTGAAAATGGTATAACATTCAAATGTATATCATACATAATATTTTAAAATGTAAAAAAAATTCATAAAAGGTAGAACATATCAAATTCGTTTCTTTTGGGTAATTAGAGGTTTTGAAAATGGTATACCCTTCAAATGTATATCATACATAATATTTAAAAATGTAAAAAAAATTCATAAAAGGAGTTCTTTGGTACGATGCCACTATTTGCCAAGTATTCCAGTATAGGGAACCAGGTCGCTTGGAATAATTTGTGTTTACTTACTGTATTTCCATCATAGACATTTTTAGAAGACTTGAGAAATCTTGTTCATCTGTTTTTGTTTGTTTGTTTTCTCCTTATTCAGTACCCAGAAACAGAGTTTTAAAAATTGAGCTCCAGGATAAAGTTGCACAGGTCTATACCGGTGTGTATGCAGAGGCCTTCCTGGAATATTTAAACTGTCTTTGTGTCGACGGAGTCATCACAAACAATCCTCAGATTCTACAAGCTACACCTACAGTTAGAAAATCTTAATTGCCGCATGGGAAATCGAAACATTGAATGTTTATGGTTTGCTGGGGTTTGTTGAGGTCCTTTTCTCAAAAATTATATATAATATTCTTTGGAATCTTTTTTTTTTTTTTTTACAATGAGACCATCTCATTTATGAAATAAAGAGTCTCCTTTGATACCAAGCCATCTTGGCAGATTCAGTGCAACGTTTTCTGTTAAACGGTTGAAATCTTCATTTGACCTCTGCTCGCTGCTTTTTCAAGGAAGGGTCCTGCCGGTGCAGTGTTTGTTTTCTCCCCAGGATATGATTCATCCATATTTTTCTAAGATCCTTAAAGGAGCCTGTACTCTTTGAGGAAATGGTGCTGCTCGCCATAAACTAGAGGAGACTTAGAACTCATGCAAGGGGGGAAATGCGGGGTTTCAGTTTATTCACAATTTTTTATTTTAAAAAAAGATGCATTACAGTTTATGCACAGAGCTAAAAAGTTATTTCATTTCTGGCCTAGAATGTTGTCTTGGCCTCTCTTCTGGTCACGTAGAAGGTGGTTTCCTAAATGGAAAAAAGTATGGAAACCCCTTGTGCCTGTCTCATAAGGCAGTATCCTACCAACGTGTGCAGGAGGCCCATGGCGTTTCCCCGTGCTCTTCTCCATTGCTGGAGCACTTTTAGAGTCCCAGAAAGATCGTTCTTGGGGGCACTGGGTCCAGGCAGAGGAACAGCTGTGTGGATTGACAAGATGGAGTGAGGAAGGACAAAATGATGGTTGTCCCCTCCCTTCACTGAAGCTGCACTGGCGGAGGTAGAATTTCAGCTCTTTGCCCTTTCCGCACTCCGGCACTCCAGCCTGTGCAGATGTTCCTTTGCTCAGGTCATGCGCCCCCAGAAATGAACTTCCTGGGGTTCTGAAAAAGCTGCAGCAATGGAGAGGAACTATTTATTTATGTATACCCCCACATTTCTTCCCAATGGGACCCCAAGCAGTTTACGTGATTCTTCTCCATTTTATCCTCTCTACTACCCTCTGAGGTGGGATTGGCTGAGAGTGTGTGGCTGACCCAAAGTCCTCCAGCAGGCGTCCGTGGCAGAGCGGGGAATACAACCTGGGCCCTTCCAGGTCCTAGTCCAACACTCTGACTTCGGGTTGCCAGCTCTGGGTGGGGAAACACTTCGAGATTTTGGGGGTGGAGCTTGGGGAGGGGAGGGATTTCAGTGGCGTCCAATGCCATAGAGTCCACCTTCCAGAGCGGCCATTTTCTCAAGGTGAAATGATCTCTGTCACCTGGAGATCGGTGTTCCCTCTAAGCTGAGTTAGGGTGAGCTAGCTCACAGTTCTTTAGCCTCCGGCTCACACATTTTTGTCTTGGCTCAGGAAGGATGGCTCCAGAGCAAACTAATTTATGCAGCAGCCAAATCGCTCGCTCACAACTTTATGCCAGGAGCTCACAAAGTAGAATTTTTGCTCACAAGACTCCAGAGCTCAGAGGGAGCCCTGGTTGTGATAGCAGGAGATCTCCAGCTACCACCTGGAGGTTGGCCGCCCTACACTATTACATCATGCTGGTGCATTGCTAACGACACGCTCCACACAAGGAGTGGCAGATCCTGCCCAGTCTCTCCATGTAATCTGGGTTGTGATGATGGAGGCTTTGATTGCCAGCAGCTCCGCGGGGTTTTGGGGCCCAGATCTTTCCTTTTCCTAGCCTGGCTACTTGACTTCCTTCCTAAAACGGAGTTGGCCGTCATGCCGACGTGATCCCCCATTTCCCCCCCCTCCTCCTGATCACACTATAAATTTCTTGTTAACGATTAAGGTTATACGTCGCAATTCACCGCCCACTATGCCGCAGGCTCCAGGACCGGCACAGCACTCCCCCTCTGGCTCAGATTCGTCTTCCAGCCATTCTTCTGTGCCTGACCTGGGGCAGATCAAGGTGGGTAGCCCTGTTAGTCTGTCTGTAACAGTCAAAAAGAGCAGGAGTCCAGTAGCACCTTAAAGGCTAGCAACATTTGTGGCAGTGTAGAAGCTTTCGTGAGTATCTGAGGAAGTGAGCAGCGACTCACGAAAGCTCATTCCGTGAGACAAATTTTGTTAGTCTTTAAGGGGCAGGTGGAATAGGATTATAGACTGCAGTCCAGTGTGGTGGTAGGTTTGTGGGCTATGGGTTCACATGGTGTGCTTTTTTGTATTTTTTAATATGTGTGTGTGTGTGTGCATGCATGCACCTGGAAGTCATGGCGACTTCTGGTGACTGACCCCTACTGGGGGCCTGAAGGATATTCAGAGAGGTGGCCAAATAAAGTCTGCCCCCGCCTCCCAACTGCTGGTATTCCAAGGAGGTCTCCCATCCAAGTACTTCCCAGAGTTGACCCAGCTTAGATTCCGAGATCCAACAAGATCGGGCTTGCCTGGGCTATCCAAATTGGGGTGGGTTTGCATGGTTTTGACAACCAGTCTTTACAGGCAAAATCCATGGGACAGCCCCCCTCCATTGAAAAACGTGTGTGAAACAGAGACAAGTGTGAGCATCTCTTGAAATCACAAAAGCCCAGAAAGTGAATCACAGGATAAGTGAAGCAAACAATGAAGCTCTAAAATGGAAATAACCTATTCTTCCCAGCATCTGGCGAATTAATGGTATACTGCTGCTGAACATGGAGGTTCCATTGAGCCATGAATTGGTCTAACCCACCCCACCTCTTTTAAAAACCATCACTGCACCTTGTGGCAAGGAGTTATGCATTATATGAAATACATCCTTGAGACCGAGTTAAACTTATGACAAATTGGGTGATCCTGGAGTCTAGATTTAGGAGAAGGAGAAGGAGAGATTGGATTTATACCCCGCCCTTCACTCATGTCTCAGAGTGGCTTACAAAGCCTTTTCACTTCCCCTCCCCACAACAGACACCCTGTGAGGTAGGTGGGGCTGAGAGAGCTCTGACAGAAACTGCTCTTTCAAGGACAGCTCTGACAAAACTATGGCTTGTCCAAGGTCATGCAGCAGCCGTGTGCGGAAGAATGGGGAATCAAACCTGGTTCTCCCAGATTAGAGTCCATGCACTTAACCACTACACCAAACTGGAAGGAGGGGGCTCCTCTCAGTAATTTTGTAAATTTCACTCATGTTCCTTAAGTCATCTCCCCTCTAGACAAGTGTGTAGGTGGTGCAGGAAAAGGGAGAGTGCAGATGAAAGGATTTAGAGGGCATTACACAATTCCATCTTGCTTCGCTTTGCTTTCATGAATCACAGTGGTTGAAGAGGGAGAAGTAGTTGCAGAAAGACTTTATAGAGAGGCTTAGCTGGAGAGAAGTGACCTTTCTAACCACAGTTAGGTAATGCAGAAGTCAAGCCTGGTTGTGGCGCTCAGTGGCAAAGCTGTGCAAGTAGCAGAGCCAGAAGCAAAACCCACTTGACTTTGACCATTCCTGCCTTAAAACCTTGAGCTTGGGAGTGGTACAGACTGTTCCATTAAAGTAAAGAAGTTCCTTACATTACTCTCATGCAGAAGGTTTTAACAAAAGAACACTCGAACCCAAGCCCCTTCAGAACTCCAACAATGTGTTTGTACAGCAATGTTAAGAACATAAAAGAAGCCATGTTGGATCAGGCCAATGGCCCATCCAGTCCAACACTCTGTGTCACACACTGGCCAAAATCAGGAGGTCCACCAGCGGGGCCAGAACTCCAGAAGCCCTCCCACTGTTGCCCCCAAGCACCAAGAATACAGAGCACCACTGCCCCAGACAGAGTGTTCAATCTATACCTTGTGGATAATAGCTACTGATGGACCTCTGCTCCATCTTAACAGTTAGCAACAAAAGACCTGAGATTGGCTCCCGAGGGTTCGTTTCACCAGCAACGGCTCTTTTCCTCCAGAGCCGGGAAGCCTTCCCCAATAACAACAGACCTATCTAGCCTCTTGGACTGGAGGAAAGGGCCTCTACTAGTAGAACAGGTCCATGAGATCTAACCCTTATGAAGGCAAGAGGGGATTTTATCATTATCAAAGTGGAAGTTGATTAACTTTTTTGCCACCGAAAAGTTAACCAAGCCCTGACCTGGATGGCCCAGGTGTGCTTGATCTCATCAGATCTTGGAAGCTAAGTAGGGTTGGCCCTGGTCAGAATTTGGATGGGAGACCACCAAGGAAGGCCAGGGCTGCTATGGAGAGGCAGGCAATGGGCAAACCATCTCTGAACGTCTCTTGCCTTGAACATTCCACAGAGCTGCCATAAGTCAGCTGTTATTTGACGGCGAACCCCCCCCCCCAAAAAAAAAAAGGCTAAGGAAAAGTTGATTGATTGAAGATATGACCAATTTTCTTTACACCACAGCAGCTGGAAAAGAGACATTATTCCCAGCTGATACAGAGAGGGCTCTTTCCCGTGCCCCCCAAATAGGAATTGGGTATCTCATGGAGCATGGGCAAATCTGTCTTCCCA